GGAGTGGTCCAGTCCATGACCCCTACTTTGTGGGGTGCCGCAGAGCTTGGTCCTTCAATGGTTTAGGGTGAGGCATCACCAATACGTGGATGATACCCAGCTTTATATTTCCACCCCTGGCTGCCTGAGTGATGCCATGGACATCCTGTCCCAGTGACTGAAGACTGTGGGGGCCTGGATTGGTGCAATAGGCTTTAGCTCAACCCATGCAAGACTGAGCGGCTTTGGGTGTTTGGGCCTTCTGGTGCCGGGAACCTTCCGTTGTTGGTCTTGGATGGGGTGGCACTGCCTCAAACAGACCTGGCGCATAATCTGGGGTCCTCCTTAGACTCACGGATCCTGCTTGAAGAGCAGGTGGCAGTTGTGACGAGGAGGGCCTTTGCACAGCCCCAACTGCACCCATTCCTGGACCGGGGCCCCCGCTCACTATCAGTCATGCCCTTGTCACCTCTCGTCTGGACTACTGCAATGTGCTCTACATGGGGCTGCCCTTTAAGAGTATTTGGAAGCTTCAACTGGCGCAGAATGTGGCAGGACAGGCAGTAAATGGCACCAGTTATTTGGTTTGCATAACACCACTACTCTGTGAGCTACACTGGTTGCCAGTGTGCTTCCAGATGCGATTCAAGGTGCTGGTTGTCACTTTTAAAGCCCTTTGTGGCTTAGGACCGGGTTATTTGAGGAACCTTCTCTCCCCAGTTGTTTCTACCTGTCCAATCTGGCCAGGTAGGATGGGTGTGCTCCAGTCCCATCAGCCAAAGAATGTCAATTGGTGGGGCCTAGAAGACATGCCTTTCCTACCATAGCGCCCAGCTTGTGGAACATTCTACCTCTGGAAATCAGGATGGCCCTGACCCTGCTGGTCTTTCATAAGGCCCTAAAGACCTGGTTCTGGGCCTGGAGCCCCAAGGGTGTGCAGGGACCCACCTCTTGGTTATGCTAGTGATTTGGGTGCATGTTGCTTGGCCACTGTGTATTTTAACTTTTGTAACATTTATAATTATTTTTATTTTATTCTACCACCCAGAGTCACTTGTTGAGATTGGATAACTAAATTCACACTAAATTCGCACTGGTCTTGATCAATTAATCACCATTAGCCAGAATGTTGTATAGCTTAGTGCATTGGACAAATAGCTCAGGATGCCTTCTGGAGACGGCTAGTTGCCAAGCCAGGATGGGTAATGGACTGGGGCTACCTTATCTAGGTTACAAAATTCCAAATGACCATTAACTGGCAGCAAAGACAGAGATATCAAGAACGTGCCACTTGGTGGCTTTTTGCTGCCCAGACATGGTAGCCCTACATTTAATGAAAGCTTAAGAAGTTATGTGAAGGAGTGGGGGGGGGGGGTTTATTCAGGAAAGGGGGAGGGGAACTCCAAGTCATCGTAGAAAAGATTATCTGAGTCCTGGTAAATTAGAAGATGTGGGAAGAAACCCCAAACAACTCCACTTTGTGTTAGGTATAAGTTGAAGTAGAGAGAGACTTCGACAGCTTTCTGTTACAATACCCTAACTGCGTTAACATTCCTTCCAAGACTCCTGTTTCCTAATCTTGTCTACCTTGAAGAGCTGTCAAGATATAAATATACCTTCCTCTTGCTACACTTTTAGCAAGAGGGTCACTTTCGTAGCTGTGGAAAACAAAGCAGCTGTAGGGCAGGAGGGAACTTAACCACAAAACCCAGAGGGACTCAGCAGGTTGGGATCATTTTAATTATCTTGGACGTAAACTGGGGCTCAGCTGTTGCAGTCAACACCTTCTTTGCCAACATCCATCAGCAATTGGCTGTGCCACTGCTTTTGTTTAGAAGCCACTTCTGAAAGAGGTGCCATGAGGGAATGTCCTAATCAAGGCAAAATCTCCCCCTTGCAATGGTCAGAGGTGCAGAGGCAGACAGGCTGCTGGGTTTGCTACACGTCTTCTTCTAGTACACGCTTGGCAACAGACAATCAAGATGTGAATCAATATCATTGGTTTCAAAAAACACAATGAAAGCCATGATTTGATATTCATGGACCAGAGGTCCAGATTAGACACAGGCACTAGATCTTCACAGCATAGCCTGCTGAACTATAGCCCAAAACCTTTCAGTAAAAGTACCCTAAAGCAGCAGTTAGAGAAGAAAAATCTACATTGTTAGCTTTGCCCAATTTACATCTCAAATTCTGGACTGTTTCTGTAAGAGTATCCTTGTCTTTTGATGTGAAGAATGTCTACGTTGTTGCTTCAAAGACAGGGAATGTACAGGGAATGTACCCTAGTGACACAGCCAGTTGTTCTGTGTCACTAGGACAGAACAGGGTAGCCCTCTGGCCGTCAGCGGATTTGGACATGGGCTTTCCTAGGCAGGTTTATCTCCTGCGCCTCTAGGAAGGGGAATTAAAAAACCCTAATCCAATGAGATTTGGAATCAACATCTTGCTACAGGTCATTTGTTTTAAACATACACGTAAGGGCATTGTTGCAGTGAACAGTTGATAGGAAAATGCCAATGAAGGCTATTTCATGGGTACATCCATTCTCTTACAGAATTTAAGAACAGGTGTGTCTGTTGGAATTTCTGCCTTTTTAGCTACATGTTTGAATAACCAAGTGTCAGCACCAGCCCCTCTGCAACTTTGTGCTAGTTTGCAGCAAGGCACAATCCTGGAGCGCAACAACATTAAGCCCTTTGTTGGTGATGCTCACCTGAGAGCCCTTCCCAGTGAGAGACTGCAGGCTGGATCCAGCAAACTTCAAGCTCAGCGCTTCATTTTCAAAATAAACCTCCACCATGGCAGAACGCGGAACTGCGCCAGCAGCACTGCTCCGAGGGTCCCCATGTGGGACCTATAGGCTGCCCTCCCCTTAGCGTCTCTCTGGCTGATAGCCCCTGGTCAGTCGTATAACGCAAAGGCAGCCTTGCAGGAGATGCTGGGATGTGTGTCTCCGGTCCAACCTGATGGGTGAAAGGAGGCTGGACTAGGGCCGTGAAAGGCTGGCTCGAGGAAAGCACCAAGGACAGAACCCTTTTCAGAAGGATGTCCAAGTCTACAGAACCTTTAATCTCTGGGCAAGACCCTTGGCTTCTTTGTAGGTTTTCTTGCCACAGGCAGATGGCACTTTGGTGGGTTCCAGGGCCAGCAGGAGACCCCAAGCTGTGGAGACAGCAAAATGAGCCAAGACTCTGCTAATGAGTGGGGCGAGCCCCTTTACCTTCCTCAATCCCCTAGGTCTGGATCACATTTGGTGGGAGCTGGAGACACAGGGGGTGGGAGCTGGGGGCAGAGGTTTCCAGAGTAGGCAGGGGATAGGCAGGAGAGACCCAGAAGGGAAGACAAATGGGAGATGAGGAATGGTGTTCTTAGCACTGTTGGTCAATCCCCCAGCTACAATATATAGGTGATCTGATGCTCTCCCACTGTGTGCCATTACAGTTGGGAAGAGGCTTAATTTAAATGAGGGCTCCCTGCAGCTCATTCCTTGCTCCCTACCTCCCCCAGAATATGTATGTTGGTTCTGAAAGACAGTAGAACAAAATCTGATCCTATGACCGTGCAAAGAGTGCTTCTCCATCCCTGATGACGAACCACTGATTCTCCCCCCACCCCCATTACCCTTGAAACCTCCTCCCTTTTGGTAGCACCTCTCCTGCGTGTCTTTTAGAAATCAGAGGGCAGCCAGAACTCTGAGAGTGGGACTACTGCTCTTAAAAAAAACAAAACCCTTCATGCTTTTCTTAGCAAGTGGAAATGGCAAAACAGTCCATATGTCTAACATAAAGACAAGTGGTGAAAGAGCACTTACAACAGGTCACAAACCTGTGTGGATACAGAGGCAGGAGACAGTTTGCATAGGCTTCACCTCCTGGCATGCAGGCAGGCAGGCAGGTCCAGGACCTAAAATGCCAATCAAGTGGGAGTCTCCTCCCCTCTAATCAGCCCAACACGGACTTTCACCCATCCCGTGGCTCTGTTGCTGTGTGCAACAGTAAGAATTTCCTTGGGAAGTGCACAAATGCACAGCATACATATTTGATCAAAGAGGTGGCCAGGAGGAGCGGGTGACCAGTGCTATGGGGAGGATGGGAGAAGGGCAAAAGGCTCAAGGTGGTTGTGGCGCTGCTATCCTGGGCTTACCCCCAGCAGCATCTCTCACTCAGTGACTGGAATACAAGTCAGCCATGGCTGTTAGGCTCATGTTCTGCTTGGGGGCTGCCAGCATCATCTGGCTGGCCACAGAAGGAACAGGCCGATGGGCTAGAGAGGCCTTTGACCTGCCCCAGCGTGATCTTATGTTCTTTGGAGAGCAGAACAACAGGGAAGATTTGACTGGCAGGAAACTCTCTCCCCTGATCTACTATCCCTGTCTTAAGTGCATTTCTTCTTAATTTTTAACCAGGGAGAGGAGGGCTGCTTCAACGAAAGGGCACTCTGCCATTTAAGTTCTCTTTTCTGCACCCGAGGGTTCTTGCTTCAAGCAACTGCTACACAAGAGGAGACACTGGAGATACCATCCAATCCCTGAACAGTGTGCCTGTGGCTCCTCGGTTAATCTGTATCCTTTGCAGTTTTATAAACCTTTTAATAACACGTGTTAGTCAGAAAAGATGCTACCAGACTCCTTCTGAATGTTTATCAGCCTCCCTGTCTTCCCCACTGGCTTTCTTCAAAAGGGTAATCCTTCCCTCCCCACTTAGCTGAAGTCATTTCAAGACTTTTGCCTCCTCAGGATGTACCAACTTACCCAACTGAACGTTTCCTTGCCTTTCAGCTGCTAGAAACCCCTCTTGTTTCTGCTGCAAAGAGTCACAGGTCTTCCTAGCAGCACCGAGGTGCTTTCTATGGAGATGATGGGGCAGGCAGCAGAGGAAGGACTGTAGCTCAGATTACAGACCTTACTTTTTGCTACAAACACAGACTCCAAACAAGCCCTCAGCACATCAGCAAGAAACACTCGCCAGACCGGGTGGATGTGACAGCTCTTACTGCTCAACAAACCAGGCTGACAGAAATTGAGAGTATAAAAATAAGATATTTTCCTTACCAAAGCAAAACCAAACCAAACGAAATGGTAAAAAAGACATACAAAGCTCAGGGCCGGCCTGACTGCATGATTCTCAAGCCCCGTGCTCCAACATGCTCCGTGACCCAGTGAGGAAACACTTCTCCTGCAGGGCGGTGCAGGGAGCCAAGGGGCCCCTAAATGCAGTCTCAGGTGGCCCCCAACCACACTTGAGGGTGCTTCTCTCCATTACCTTCTGCGCCTTGCCCTCAGTTCAGCTTCAGATCGGTCTCTCTGGTGGCTGAGTACGAGTAAGCTTTCCCCAGCACCAGCCGGTCCCGTAGGAGTTTGAAGAAAGCATAGTAGTTGCTGAAGAGGATCAGGGCCAGCGAGATGGTCTGATGCCACTTCTCTGAGACGATCAGCGAGTAGAGCTGATAGAAGATGACGGCCCCCTCGAGGAGAAGCAGGATGTTCAAGATCCGCAGCGGCTTGCTGAAGAAGAACTAGAGGGGAGAGATGTTCCTCTGCGTGAGCAGCCTGCAGTTCCTGGTGCCCAGTGAATGCTCCGGGGCTCGCAATGGTACTGCAGATGCCCCCGATCCAGACATCAGAATAAAACTGTATTATTCAACATTCATGGATTTCTTTATTTATTTTATCTATACCCCACCTTTTTGCTCTGGTGAGCACTCAGAAGTGGCCAGCCAAACAAAAACAGAATCTGAAAAGTTGAAATATTCAGATTAAATGGCTCAAATCTTGTGAGTTCGTCAGATCTTTTGCCATTCTCACCTTGAATTTCACAAGAATGCAGAAGGGAAATGAAAATGCAGTCACTTTGCGGCAGTGGGGGGGGGAGGAACCCTTAAAAATACAAATGGTTTTTTATTTAATGCTGCAGTCACATCAGTGCTGTGTGGCTCTCTTGGCTGTCAGGGTGGGGCTGAAAAACTGTGGGTGACAATACAGGAGAAGGGCATAGAGGAGAAGCCTGGGGGAGCAGTGGCAGTGCCCAACAGATTTAGAGGCATACAATACCAACAGGCATTCTAAGTTATGCTCATTGACAGCTCTTTTTTGCCAACAACTGGCAAATCCTCCAACTTTCTAGCTGGTGATTTTCAGACCATCTTCAGGAGCAATGGACAAACATCTCAGAAAAGGTTTACTGACCAAAACCAGCCTTCTGCCAACACAACATGCAGTTGCAGAAGAGCCTTCACTTTCATACGCTGCGGTCCTGTTAACAACTCTTGACCCTAAGAGTTCCCTGTTGTTAGCAGCAGCATCACTGGCCCTGCTCTCTGGCCTCTCTTTCAATCAGAAAGTTACAGCACAGCCTTCCTGGTGGTGGCAGAACTAAGTTCTCCACGTCCTCTTCTTTAGGCAAATGATGAAAATCTTGACTTGCTTTTAAATAAATGTACAAACCCCAGAATCGAAAAACACCCTGAAATTAATAATAGCAGAGAAGGAAGAGGCTATAGAATGATCCCAGCAAAAATTTTCCTGGCTGGAGATCCAATGAAAAGAACATTATCCTCTGTTCAAAGAGCGCTCAGAGGCACGTCCAACACATCAAGCAGCATGTAGGGGAAAGCTGCCTCTGCAACACTCACCCAGAATCCTTTGGGCTTGAAAGCAAAGCAAAAATGGGGCCTGTTTACCTTCTGGATGGGAGACCACCAGGAAACCCCAGGGTTTGTAGGGAGGTTGAAAGAAAAAAATCCCCTGAGAAACCATTGGCTGCACCCATGCAGTCACTGAAGATGAAACCAGTGTGGAGGAAGGGCAGGACCAAATGGCAGCCACCCACCATCAACGTTTGTATAAGGAGAGCAGCTTACATGAAAGCGGAAGTGGGAGACATCTGAAGGCACCGCCACATTGGAGTGGCCCACTGCTTTGTAGACATTTTTGCTGTGTTTTACCAGCACCCCCTGCGGCCACAGACATTCCTCCGTCCACCTGAAAAATATGTTCAGAAGCCATCTGGAGGAGCAGAAGGTGAGACCAGGCCTTTCTCAGCTGCTGATCCTCCCCCTTTGTTGGCGCTGACTTCCAAGGGCGAGGTCAGAGCACTGCCAAGCAGTGCAGGGATTGTTTTCTTACTGAGGGATGCTGGGCAGGAGTTCACTAGTTTATCATTAAAAAGGAGAGGGATGTTTTTTTTTTTTGCAGTCACTGGGAGGAGCAGGAGGAGAAGAGAGGAATGCAGCAGGTTGTCTTTTGAATCAAAAGTCCTGAATTGGACAGACAACTGAGAACAATTAAGAATGCTAGAACCCTACTCTCCACTGCTGGAGAATCACATACTGGATGGAGGTACAACTCGCTGGGCTTCCCCAACACAAACAGGTACAGAAAATGAACTAATGTTACGGACAGATCCTCCAGGTACAGAACTGTGCTGGCCAGAGATGGCACACAAGTGCAGCCGCAGCACGACTTCAAGTCTGCACAGAAAGCTTCCTTTTAGGGTAGCCAGTTGTTATTTTTTTCAAACTGGCTTTGCTCAGGTCCTTTTACAGAAGGCACAATGTCAGAAGGCTCCACAGATTTAGCTGGCACCTTTCAAAGCATCTCAGAGAGGCCATGGAAGATCCCATAGAAAGTGGGAAGCCCCTAGATATTAGGCTTTGGGAAGAAGGGGGAATAGAAGCTATGAGCAGAGGAAGGAGCTGGCCTTTATGCCAGCTGGTGGGGTGCCAGGAAGCGTTTAGCAAGTTGGACAGAAAAAAAACGGTCAAAATGTTTCTAAAACAAGGAGCCATCAGGTCAGACCAAACTCGGACACATTTTACTTGTTCCTTCCACCCACATCTGCCACTGCTTAATGTGGCTGTTTGTAGCTTGGAACCCTCAGTTCTGCAAGTCCCAGAAACACCAGCCGAGCACGCCCTTGGGCTACATCAACCGCAAATTCTGAGAGTTGGGAACCCTAAGCCTCCGAAGAGGACCAGGTTAAGAAGGCTGCTTAACAAATAGCTTTTTAAAAGATGGAGGCTACTTACTGATGCTGCAGCACATTGGAGCAAAGGGATGGATCAACCTTCTGCCAACAACCCAGATGTGCTGCGGCCTTATGCAGGAGGTCACAGTAGCGGGCAGGCAGTAGGTGCTGCATGAGGATGACGGATGTGCTGATGGAGACCAAGAGGAACAACTCACAAGACCACTGCTTGTCATAATACTGAGTGCTCTGTAGAAAGGCAAGGGCAGACCAGGAACAAAGATGAGGTACACAGCTGTACTTTCGGAGTTGGACTTGCATTTCCCCGAAGTATCCTGGTCATCCAGGGGGCAGCTCTCTGATGAGTGGGAAACAGGAATTGTTTTGGGAAGTCTAAAGCAGTGGGATTGGTCCAACAAGGCTGCCCAACGGCCAAAGCCCTTCTATTGCCCGGTGGTTCTGGGAACCAGAATGTGCCAAATACGTTCAATCTTAAAACCTGATCTGGAGAATGACTTCAAAACAGACTTGTAAATAAAACCACAAAAGCATTTACAGGCTGGTAAATGTATATGAACCATCTCAAACTTTGCATATTGCAACCCTCTAAAACAATACACAAATTTGTACAACCTCCCACAAGGCATAAAGCTGATTCTTTCAATAGGTTTGAGCAAGACATCAAACCTGACACTCTCCCCATGACTGGGTCATGACCCCCCAGAAGGTCTCAACCCACATCTGAGATCCCTAAATCCATGGTGCTGAAGAAAAAGGGAACTGGATAAAACCTCCTGATTTTGACTACACAGAAGAGATTAGTAGCTGCCAGTAGCAACTAAGTGACGGAGTATTTATGGGGTCAAATGCAAATGAGATTGGATTAGACATAAAGAGGTCAAAATTGGATCATTTCTAAAAGGCCCCATTCTGAAGACAGAGCAATTCCCCCTGGGGATTGGCCCATCCTTGACCCAGAGTTCTGCCCCCTGGGTTCCACTCTGTCCTGCAGAAGCTCCAGTCCACAGCCACCTACCTTCACAAACCACACTGGCACAAAGGCCACGTAATAGGCGCTGAGCATGGAGCTCAGCAGCACCTCCTTCATGCGCCAGTTGAAATCCACCTTCAGATACTCCACTTCGTTGCGGATCAGATCCGGGGAGAGGCAGCAGGCGTGGGTGGGCATTGTCTCCATGCTGTAGAGCTGCCGAGTGTGCTGCTTCCAGGTCTCCTTGAGAACAGAGAGGTAGTCCTTTCCCCTCAAGCTGACATCCCCTGTGTCCCGAGGGCCAATGCTGGCCACAGGAGAGAAGAGGCTGGTCTTGCGAAAATCGCAGTTCAGCTGCAGGAAGGGGATGTACATGCCAAACCTTGAAGAAGGAGAACAATTCTGAAGCAACTTTTATGTTGTGGTATTCAACACTTTCCAAAACCTGAGCAACTTATCATCTAGCTGGCATTCATCTAAGGGTTCTCAATCTGAAACTGGTGCTCTATTAACAGAAGTATGCAACGTGTCAAGAAAGAGACTGGGAAGTGGCCAGCTTAATGTCAGACATCTGTTTAAAGTAACCCAAGAAATTACAAGTAACATAGCTTAATACTTATTCTGGTATAGGTAGAATAGCTTATTAAAATGACTTTTCAAATGTACAAGAGTACAACTATATCATCACTGGCCACTGACCAAACCAACTGGATCTGAAAGGAATGGAAACCCAACATTATTTGGAGGACTACAGATTCTTCATTCTTTAATACTGGTAGTCCTTGGTTAACCCAGCAACTGGGACTGGAATTTTTGTAGCTAAGCGACGTGGTCATAAAGTGCATGGTTGCCATCATTAAGCAAATCCAGAGCCGTTGTTAGCAAAGATGTCACATGGTCGCCATTTGCGACCTCTTCCCTGCTTCTCCATTGACTCTGCTTGTAGGACATTGGCAAAGAAGGTCACACATGGTGACCGTGGGACGCTGCAAAGTAATTGCAAGCCGGGCACCTAGACCGGTCATAAGTACCACTCATTCAGCACTCTTGCAAATTCAACTGGTTGCTGAACAAGTGGTCATTAAGTGAGGACCATCTGTAAAATACTTTTTGCTAAAGGTAGGTCCTGCCTCGATATATTTTAGAGATGTACAAGAGCGTCAACAAGTTTTGAATAGGGGTGAGCCAAAAGTAACATTACAGTTGGATTATATATATTTTTTTCTCAAGTTTCTTGCTGAACACCCCTGAGCAAACTTAACAGTCAAGGAAGAGATAAGGTACTGTTACCTTATTGATTAAAAATGGATTAAAGCACCTGAAACAACTATGAATAAATGAATAGTTCTATGGAGGATGTAAGCTGCAAGGTCCCTCTGGGGTCATATTTGTTTGTAAGTGCCCTAGAATTACAAATAATCACTGGGACAATGAAATACTCTGACAATACTTAATTGATAACTCACTCATATACTCTCTCTCAGGAGTTATAAAGAGCTCCAAGATCTCAAAAATGGTGCATAGGGGCATTAAAGCAGCAAATGAAATTCAATATAAGCAACTGGAACTAAACACGTCCTAATTTCATACATGCATAAAAGGATTTTGGATAACCAGACTTTGCAGCTGCTCTGCAGAAGGGTATCAGAAAATGAACTGGAAAGATTGCCAATATTGTAATGCTGTGACTAACCTGGAGCATTCTAGTCACCATACTTCCAGTTTGCTGTAGCAGTTAAGGTGCTGAACTACAAACCAGCAGACCATGAGTTCTAGTCCTCTCTTAGGCATAAAAGCCAGCTGGGTGACTCTGGGTCAATCACACTCCCTTGGCCCAATCCACCTCACATGATTGTTGTTTTAGGGAAAATGGGAGACAGGAACATTAGGTATCTAGTGTGTAATGATGGGTGAAGTATCATTAGTATGCTGGTGATATCCAGCTCTGTATTTGTGCCCCAGGCCGGCCAAGTGATGCCATGGGCTGTGGACGTCTGGATGGGGAAAGCAGGCTGCAGCTCAACCCTGGCAACACTGAGTGGCTGTGAGTCTTAGTGGATTGGGTCGCACTACCCCAAGGAGAACTGGTACACAATCTGGGGGTCCTCCTAGACTCACGGTTCCTGTCTGAAAAGCAGGTGGTGTCCATGGCCAGGAGGGCTTTCGCACAATTTCATTTTGTTCTCCAGTTGCATCCTCTTCTGGACCAGTTCGCAGTTACCCACACGTCAGTCATTTCCCAAGTGGATTACTGCATTGTGCTCTGTTTGGGGCTGCCCTTGAAGATCATCTGGAAGCTGCAACCAGTCAGAATTCAGCAGCACCGACAGTTATGGGTGCACCTTGGTAAGCCCATGTTATACCTGTTCTCCACAAAGTGCATTGATTCCCAGTGTGCTTCTGGGTGGAATTTAACTGCCACCTATGAAGCCTTTCATGCCATGGGATCAGGTTGGTTCAGGACCATATCTCCCCAGTTGTTTCTACCCATCCCACAAGAGGGGTACACTCTTGGTCCCCTCAATTAAAAATGCCATCTAATGGGACCTTGGAAGCGGGCCTTTTCTGTCCTGCCCTCTGGAACACCATAACTCCAAGATTAGATTGGCCCTGATCCTGCCAGCCTTTCACAAAGCGCTGAAGATCTGGATGTGCTCCAGAGTATGGCAGTTGGGAGGTTAGATGTCCCGTGAAATTAACTGTTACTGTGAAGTGTTTATTGGGTATGCTCTCATTAAAAAGAAAAAGGGTTTTATGCTTTTGTTCATATTGCTTTTGATATGTGTTCTAATGAGTTGTTAGCCAAGGTACGTCACCTAGAGTTGGCCAAAAATGAAGGTGAGATGATAATAATAATGATATCATTTCAAAAAGGATATTAAAAAACAGAAAACAAGGGAGAAGTAAAATTACCAGGGAGCTGGAATAAATCTTTCCTAATATCTATATGCAACCTCTTTCCCCAAAGGTGGCAATCATAATTTAAAACAATATAAATATGGAATTTCCTTCCACAAGCTATGGGGACAATTCTGACCTTTAAAAGAGTTTACACAAATTCATGAATAATAAGGTTATCACGGTGACTTCTGTCCTGAAAAAACAATGAATTGTGCAAACAGCAGAAACTTGTAGGATCATCATATGGAATGAACTGGTGGAAGAATCCAGTTTTTCTGAACATAAAATGTAATTAATATGGTGTAGAAATCAATGTCTCTACTACAAAACACTTTCTTTCATTGCAATCCAGCCAAGGATCTTGTAGAAGGAGAACCAAGTTAATCCATGGTAGCCAAAAAATTAGGAGTGGGGTAGCATCTTTTCCAGCCAGCAAATTTTATTAAAAGGTAATAGCTTTTTATTAGCTAATTAGCTTGCATTAGCATACAAAAGTTTATGCCTTTTAATAGCATTTATTAGCTGGAAAAGGTGCTACCAGATTCCTGGTTTTTAACCATGAGATGGTTTCATTTTGGGACTCTCTTTGAACCCAAAGGAAGCAGAAAGCCGGGAACTCCTTTTTGGTACTCACGGATAACAGAGGAACAAGAGGTTGAGGAGCGAGTATGATCTGAAGAGGTGGATTATAGATTGGCACAGGCTCCAGCCTGCCCCAGTGAGGACAGCAAAGCGCATGGTGACCAGGAAGATGGAGCGCGGCAAGGAGACCTTGCCAGAATGAGAGGCCTAAAGGGACAAAAAAATAACATGGATATGACTACTTCTGTTTGGGAGGGAAGTGAACAATGCTCCAGAATTCTAGGTGATTTGATTTGATTTCTGAGGGGCGGTAACTCCTAAGTATGGGGAAAGTCCCACTGAATTTAAAGAGACTTAGATTGGAGTAAACATGCTTAGGACTGCAACGTATGAGGCAAACACCTGAAGGCCACGCTGGCTGGGGAATCTGGAACCCCATCGTCCCTGGAAAGAAGTTAGATGGGGGCATTCATGGGTGTGCAATCTTTGCATGCTCTGAGGCAGCATCAGGGGGCTGGTCTGAAAATACTGGCAGCAAGATCTTGGCCCATTTTCTTTGATGGGGGAGGGCTGCTAAAGGATAGAAATGGGCACATTTTGCCTCTTCTACACTTACTTCAGAGTTTCTGTGCCTAAGACTGCACCACTGAAAGTTGACCATTTTACTGCTGACTTCTGGCAGTGTAATTCTGATGTTCTTCATGAGCTAAATGTGGTTCACCATCTGCCAACTGTGCACAAAAATATCCTCAAGGGAGATCATCCACTGAATATCTACTGTTGCCATCTCCACTGACAGCACTTTACAAGGGAGGGAAAAGCAGGACGAGAGTGCCAAACTTTCTTTTTCTGAACATTTTTTCTACCAAATGTGCTTGGTTGTCCCTGCTTACTTACGGGATGGAGGCAACAGTCCCTACCCGCTGGCTAGTCACCTTGTGGAAAGCCCCTGGAACTAGTGAGAGTGAGTAAGAAGCAGCCAAAGCATAACTGGAAGCAGAAACTTCCTGCATCTCGTGGGGCAACTCTACCTCTTTCACTTCCTTCACAATAGCAATTATCAGTCTCCTTGCCAGAACAATGGTGGTCACTGCCAGGACATTGAAGTCAATGAGATGAAAATTCTGCAGGAAGGAAAGAGAAGGCTCTGGTTAGCCTAAGAGCAGCAATCTTACAAATGCTGAAAAGCAAGAAGAGTGGGTTTCCAGAGAGCATTAGGAAATGTAGGAAAATAAAGATCTGGGAATATCCGCTTCTCTTAGCTGTGTTCAGTGAGTCTTTGAAATGACTGCTGTACGTGTACACGTCCTTGCAAAAGTACAGCTCAACACCTCGTTTCACATTTACAATGTCCAAACCCAACCATGCCTGATCCTGACCTTCTCTGGCACTAAGAGCAACCAATCATAAAACAGCAGTTGCCTTGCGTATTTCTGCTTATTTACTGTAATAACACCAATTCCAGAAACAGCCAGAGGGTGTCCCATTATTTCTGGTTTTCCTGCTATTACACTTCAGGTGTCTGGCTACATGGACCCCCTTTTCAGAACAGTGGCCAAATTGTAAACAAGATGCCACAGACTTCCCCAGGAAACAACAAGCTACTATTACAGCCTTATGCACTGGGGTCCCCAACCAATTTTGTGTTTCGGAGTTTCGCTTTTCTGTCACATTAAAAATGAAAAACAACCTCTAGAGGGGCTTTGGAAGAACCACTGATGTGCACCAACTTTATTTTCACTAATTTCACTCAGGGAATGGGCTACAAGCCATCAGGAATACCATCCCTAGTGACATCACAGCATATCTGAATACCTGGTTGTTCCACCAGGCATTTGGGTCAGGAGGTTAGGCAAGCTGTGCTGGTGATGTGGCTTTTTGCTTTGGGGACTGTTGTTTTAATCAGGGCATCATGAGTTATATATTGTTATGGTGGCTTTAATCTTTCTATGTCAGCCAGAGTCACTGCTGTGAGATGGGCAGCTCTATAAATCATATAAATATAAATATACATATAAATTACATCTCTCTCTCTCTTGCAATTGAGTTGTCACCCTGGATTCATCTACAGCTACTTCTGCTGAAGAACAACTATCTTTGAATCAGTTATACTGTAAGAGTTATCCTTGATCCCACATGATGCCAACCAGCACCCTCTTGACTAAACCAACACGTTGGCTCTTACTCCCCCCAAAGAAGTCTTCTTTACCTGAGATATAATTTTTATACACTGGATTCATGGGTGGGATGGCCTGGTAAACGTTGACTTTACCAAAATTAAGACCAGCCCACATTATGGGTTTACTTTCTGGACACTATGGTGAAACTACCTTATGGACTAACCAACACCACTCATGGACCCACTTTCTGCAACATAGTTAAACACGTCTACCCAGACAGAGCACAAAACCTATTATTTACAGCCAAGCCCAGTGCTCTTCTGTTCAATCAGTTCTGACTCAGCCACACAATGAAGGAAAAATTGGATCAACGTACAGCTTCATACCCAAGAAAAATCTGCAAGGCAGACCCAGAAAACTACAGAAGGCCACTTACTTCAACTTACAGCTGCCACCTAAAATATTACCTACAGCCTATCTTGGACAATCACAATCTCTTTACAACCATTCAGGTTTACCAGCAATAAGAGACTGTTCCACCATGCTAAAACTGAGCAACCACATCTTGTGTAAGACTCAGATGCCAACTCTAGCCCTGTATCGAGTCTGCTTGTACAGGACATAGGGATGTCTTCAGCAATATCAGGGATTGAGATACCTCTTCATCTTCAAATATACCATCCTTAATTAGCAGTTATATTCTTCATTGGCCAGGACTTATGCAAAAGACTAAATGAGCCCCATTCTGAAATCAAGAATGTCCCAAATCCCATAGGGGATCATTTCAAATACTCGGTTACTGACTTCAAGACAGATGTTTATGAGCAACTAAATTAATAAAGCAACACCTGAGCAGAATTCATGAACAGTTTCAACATTATTTGCCATAGATTAGAGAGACAATCAAGATTTCCTATCACACTGCCTATATTGTTCTGCTCACAAATATGGGAACAACAGTGCAACACTTGTGAATGGATACTTTGAGGAAGGCACTGACTATAATGCCAGCATTACCTTTCTCTTTAATGTGTTTACAATTCAATCCTCTCTCTCTCTCTAGACCATAGGTACAGGTAGTCCTCGACTTATGACCACAATTGGGACCAGGATTTCCATTGCTAAGGGATGTGGTTGCAAAGTGAGATATCACGTGACTGCATCACTTAGCGATGGCAATCCCAGCACTCCCTATTGCCATCCCATTGGTTGCTAGCTGAGGACCCACCCCAATCCAAGCCATTCTGGGCTTGGTCCCTCCCAGTCTTGAGCCTCAGTAAAGTAATGGACTGCTTCCAACTCGTCCCACCTGCCTATCACCCCCCCCCCCCCTCTCTGTCCTTTTTGCTGCCCTGCACCCTGCCTTACAGGGTGGGAAGCAGCCCCAGAACTATGTGGCTCTGGGGCTGCTTGCCACACTGCGGCTCAGGGGCTTCTTGGCCCTCCTTCTCCCTTCATTTGCTTGCATGCATTATGCCTTCCTTCCCTCCGTTTGCACCAGTGCCCTCCTTCCCCTTTTGCTTGCTTGCACACATTGCACCCTCCTTCACTTGCTCGCACGCATTGTGCCCTCCTTCCCTTGCTCACACGAGTGCCCTCCTTCCCTCACTTGCACCCACTGCGCCCTCCTTCCCACGCTTGCACACACACCCTCCTGCACTTGCTCGCATACACCAGCACCCTCCTTCCCCTTCCTTTGCTCACACACACCAGCACCTTCCTTCCCTTTCAGATGCACCAGTGCCCTCCTTCCCCCTTCGGTTGCTCGCACGCACGCACCGCACCCTTCTTCCTTCGCTCACCTGAGGACTCTCCAGGGGTGCTTCTGGGCACTGAAGGACTCTCCATGGGTGCTTCCAGTGAGTGCTCTGCAGCTCATGTTGGAAGCTGCTGGCTGTTCATGAGGCTCTCTCCTTCCTCCTGCAAAGAGCCAGAGCTGCAGCGCAGCATGGAGGGGGTGCAGTGCATGTGAGTGAAGGGGGAAGGAGGCGCAGTGTGTGCACTCGTGCAGGTGAAGGGGGGAATGAGGGTGCGTGCAAGTGAAGAAAGGCCAGCATGGGTGGGGAAGACTTACCTGAGCGACTTGCGACCTCTCCTGCCAGCTTCCCCATTAACTTTGCTTGTGGGAAGCCAGTAGGGAAGGTTGCAGATGGTGATCAGGTGATCATGGGGTGCTTGGCAACCAGTCGTAAGTGCGAATGGGTTGCCAAGTGTCCAAATCATGATCATGTGACTGTGGGGGTGCTGCATCAGCTGTAATTTTGGGGATCAATCGTAAATCCATTTCTTCAGCACCGTTGTAACTTCAAATGGTCGCTGAACGAATGGTTGTAACTCAAGGACTACCTGTATATAAAACTTCCCTCTCATTATAATGACCGATACGTCTTATAAAGTCCATCAGAGTTTATGCCACAACATAGATGCCTGAGGATGCACAACCCATGGCTCCTCCTTAGCTGTTGCTGACTTTCTGTAAGTCCCTTCAAATTAACATTAGCAGTTTTTAGAATGGGAAGGCTAGACAGTATAGAAGGTTAACATTAACTTATAGACCGGATTTAAGAAAAATGTAGCTTTCACTTGCAGCCCTGATATTTTCCCCCAGATTCACAGGCAGACCACACTTTAAGTTACACATCTATGCACTTAAGTTTAGTATTTGAGCTATTTGAAGTCTTTTAAAAAGAAATCTGGGCAGCCATTTTCTCCAACCTGGTGCCCTCTAAATGTGTTGGACTTCATCTCTCACAATCTCAAGGCAGCAATATTTACTAGCTTTATAAATGTGATTTTAAAATCTTGCAAAGAGGCAATCACATATAAAATACCTACCAATGAAGTGTGGGAGGGAGGGTGAGATGGTGGGTACCACCACACTGTTTTGTAGATATTTATGTAGTGGACAAAGAGGGCAAT